TTCGCATGTCTGACATTTTTAACGTCAAGCACTTGGTGCCATTCGTTGGGGATAATTCGGATGGAGTCGAGACCGGTTCGGATTCGCGGCCGAATCCTTTCCAATCGGGACAGAATGATGGAGACGAGACCACGATAACGTTTTTGAATAAATTTGCTCGCCTTTGTATCTAGTTTATATATTTACCATTATTAGTAATCTTTCTTTTAGATGGTCTTATTATTATTGGGGAATTTTAATCATTATTGGTAGTCTTTTATTAGTAGTTGGGGCATGTTGGACCCTTGCTTTTATGTATTCTCTTCCTGCGCAGAAGAGAGTCAGTTCTTATCAATCAAAATTAATAAATTTGTTCAAGCACTTGTGCGTGTTCTTTCCATTCTTACATACACTCTACATCAACTACCCTTGATACATTTGCCATTGCCCGATCGTACACAGAAGGAGATCGTGTGGTGGACATTCCGGTTGTCTTTACCGGACCCGACGGGCCTCCTTCAATTCCTCCTTCTAGTGATCTGATGGTCTCCTGTGCACCGTTTTCACGTGTTCCTGGTTCTCGGGAGGAAGTACCGGTTCAATTTGGCACTTGTCGCAAGTGTTGGGAAAGCCATCTGAGAGGCAGAGGTTTACTATCAATTCAATCTCTCTCTGGACTTTTTTTCTAGAGCTGAATTGCGCGTGCACTTCTGCCAGAGCAGAATCACGTGCGTACTGGGTGTATAACCTCAGCAGTCTCTTCCATCAGAACCCAAATCGACAACGAATATGTCCTTTAGACTTTGCTTCAAATGGCCTCCTAATACTCACAAATAGGTGGAAAACCGGCTTAAGCTGGTTGTACTTGTCAGTTCGTTCAATTCACACAGGCAGCAGACCATCGGGGAACTCTTCAGGAGCAACTGCAGTTTCTCGATTCGTATATTGTTTTTCTGAGGTCCTTGTTTTCTGATCAAAACGGGGGAGATGACGGAGAGCAGGCTGCGAGGCACTTCACTGTTTGTCTTCCTTACCCTCTCTCTCTTACATTTTACTATGCATCTGTTTTGGGGGAGTTATCATATTTAGGAGGAGTAATTTGACTTTAAATTGAGGGGGAGTTTTGTATTTGGTTTTGTTCAGAAAAGCAAAAAAAAGGGAGATTGTTAATTCATATATCTTCTATTTATTTTTTTGCTTTTCTGTATTTTTCTTTGTTTTTTATTTATTTTAAGTAAGTGTATATTATTTATTGTGTTAATTATTTTTCCTTATCTGATTAGGGATCTTAATAGGAAAGAGAAAGAAATAAAGGAAATTAGGATTTTTGTTCTTTGAGACTCTCTGGGATGCGAGGAATTAAGGAGGCTTGAGGGAAAAGGAGACGCACACAGGGGAATAGCCGCCTTTGCACTCGAGGGCCGATCGACCAAGCGTGGGTGAATAAAGACGGCGGAGCAGATTCTTTATATGCTTGAGGATATTGTCGTCTTGATCAAACACCTGGAGCATATTGGGGAAATTGGTTTTTGATTGTTCTTCTTTTCTTTTGGCATGATTTATTTGATGATCTAAATTGATATAGTGCATATTAGTATCGAACTCGCGTTTTACTATTTCGTATTTCACTATACGTGTTGGTGCTTGTTTCTTTTGGAATTGTATAAAAATATTGAAGTTGATTTGTTCTAGTGAATGTTTTGGCATGTTGACTTAGTCTACAGGTGATTTTTACTTGTGGCTAAATTTTTTGAATCGTTTGTGTTAATTTATTTTCCGCTGCGTGTTTTATTTTTTTCCAATTTGTGTAAAAATCTAGAAATTTCAGTACCTAAAATTCTAACCGACTATTCATATTTAAATTTGGCTGGGTGTTGTGTTATTTATAAATGAGCAGTTAATTTAATTTTAAGACTTGCAATTGTGGCACCATTATCAATTCTTTGTAGATGTAATGTGTTGTATTTTCCAACAATTTTCTTTTAAAAAAATTGTCAAATATTCGAAAGGTTCCAAACACATGGAATTACGACCATGTTTGAAAAATTAGATGATAACTAGTTTATAACAAATGATTTTTGAGCTTATAGCTTATAAAATGATTTTTGAGCTTATAGCTTATAACTTATGATTTATTGCAGAAAAACTAATTTATATGATAACAGTATAATTAGCTAATAAAGTATATGAAAATAAAAATTTAAACTAGCTTATTTGAAAAGTTGTCTAAAGAAACTTATGTGAGACACAAAGTCCGTCCTACTAAAAAACTTACAAGCTAATCAAATAAGCTATAAACAAACTTATTTGACTGCCAATTATACGTATAGTTTGACATTAAGAACTAGTACAGTTGTCCGTGCAAATGCACGGGAGCTACGAAACAAAAAAATTATTCAAAGAACATTTGCAATTCACAGTTTTGCATGGAGCCATCGGATGGCTCAACTTATGGAATCATCCACACTTATTCACAAATAGTGTATTGACACAGGTCTTATAATAAATACAATTTGGACAGGTGTCACACATTAAGTGGTGGATGGCTCGATAAAAAAACCATCTGATGGCTCCATAGAATATTTGTTGCAATTCATATGCATAAATTAATATTTTCAATCATTTCACATCAAAGACATCTTTATCATCACAAATTAATATTTTCAATCATTTCTCATTTGTAACTCGTGAAACAGCGACATAAAGTTGACAATGCGTAAAAATAATTAGTCACAAAAAATAGATAATTTTATAATAATACCTATCAAGTACAAACGTTCAATACTTTTAATTGTTTGTATTAAAAAAAATAGACACAATTGATAAACACGTGTCAAATCATAAAATAATGGGTATCGATAGTTATCGATAAATTAAATAATGTATATTGGGTAGTTATCGATTAATTAAATAAATATTAAATAATGGGTGTTGGGTAGTTATCGATAAATTAAATAAATATTAAATATGTGTGTTGGGTAATCACAATAAACTAAATAAATATTTTTTGAGGTAGTTAAAATTAATACAAATATGAACACTTGTCAAAAAAATGTAAAGGCTTTCCTAAAATAGTAAGAATGTTGTAAGTCCGTATAAAATTTTCTAAAAATGACAAATGAGTTGTCTAATTATATTGTAGTTCATTATTTTTATTTATTTATTTATTTTTTAACTAAATGGTCATTAGTTAGAGAAACTAATGCTCATTTAAATATCTTTTATTGTTAAGGGGTGGGGAACCCACCAAAATAAATATATCGGCTAATCTAACCAGACCAGACCCCATGCGAAGTAACACGTTTCATTATGAGTCTCTTATTCTGCCACGTTTCGCGGTCGAGGGACAGCTAATAAACGTAGCCTCGACTTTCCCACCAGAAAATATAGGAATAATGAAGAAAAGAAAAAAAAAAAATGAAGTGATTTTAAGATGTAACGGCGTTAATCGAGAGTGTTTGGTTGACGGTGGATAGAGTTAGATGGTTTAAGTCAGGTTTTGGTCGGTTAATGTGGGCCCGTTAACTTGCTGCTGGCAGTGAAATTTTCTAATAATTACAACGACTGCATTGGGTTTATTCTTATGTCACCTATATTACATGTAAATAAAATCAAACCTATGATAAAACTACATAAAATTGATAAAATTCACTCCAATATGAAGAGATTATTATGTCTCTAGGTTTAAAATACACTTAAGAGTAGACTGAGTCTTTTTTTATGACTACCACATCAGCAGGAACAATTCTATTTTAGTTCGCGTTGGAGAATACATTTTTTAGACTAGATCTAATTTTTATATGACATACAATTTTTTGTGATTGAACCAAAATATTTTGGATACTCAAGAAATATATTTTTTCGAGTACAATGAAGGAGACCGATGAGCTATGTTAGAACTCTCTTGAGGTACGAACCTATAATATCATGGTTTAGCTAAGTTTCCAATTGCAAAGGAGGGAAGAGACTTGGTGTAACCCAATCGGAGATGATGCCGCCGGACTTATCATATGGTTTGCATAATTTGTTTCTCTATGCACATATTAAAGGATTCAAATACTCCAATCTCTTTGAATCAATCTCCGAATGGCCTTAACCATCGAATCATGGATCCCCACAACATCTTCGGCATTATATAGACCATATTTGTCAAACATTAGCTATCAACCTCGACAATCACTTGTCGAGAAAATTGGGAATGATACTGAGAAGATTACAGTAGAGCCTACGCGGATGACACGCCAAGAAATAAGAAAAAACTTTACATACAACACCACCGTTCCGTTTGGTGTGGGTCCCCAACATGTGTCCCGCCAGAACCTTCTCCGCTATAAGTAAAGCCCAAGCCTGCACTTTTTATTCCAAAAAAAATTAGACATAATAATTGTTCTCCTTTCTTCTTTACAGAACCGAAAATATCCCCTTCGTCCGTTACTCACAGACACAGTTCAATTTCATTGTTTCTTATCCCCAATTTCGACAAGAGCAAGGAAATAATCCCCCACATCTCTTCGAATATTGAGGTATATATCCTAGTTTCCATTAAGTTTTGTTGTAATGTTTTATAAAAACAGTTCAATGTGGTTGTTAAATATTTTCCAAATCAATTTATTTGTTGCTCACCTGAAAATAAAAAATTGGTTCTAAGGGCGTTGTTAATTTATATATTTTTTTTCCTAAATCAATGAACGAATCTTTGCAGCTGCCTGCTATTTTACAGTGAGAGAGAGAGAGAGAGAGAGAGAGAGAGAGAGAGAGAGAGAGAGCAGCAGCAGCAATGGAACAATTTGAGAATCAGGAGCTGGATTATGTCGACTATTATGACGTTAGTGATTTCGACGATGACAATGTTCCATGTCGAGTTCCGTTGGATGACGATAACATGGACTCCGAGTTTGAGGACGATCTTGAACTGGTAATGGAATTTGTTTTACATATTTGGATAAACGTTCAGTTTCCATATCTTTTGTTATGATAGATTAACAGATGGATAGTAATCTATGTTGGTTGTGTTATTATAGAGCAAGCCCAAAACTGACACCTCGGCTTTAGAAGTGAGAAATGGCAAGGATATGCAGGGTATCCCATGGGAGAGGCTGAATTTTACTAGACACAAGTATCGTGAATCTCGATTGAAGGGATACAAGAATTTTGAAAATCTCTCAATTTCTCATGGTGATCTTGAGAAGGTATCACAGATATTTTTTTTTTTTTTTAGGT